ATGATCACTTTTGTATATAGAATGGCCGTCCGACGTCGATTTGACAAGTCGTTCATACAACTGCCAGTGTCCAATGTATATATCGCCACATCCATATGCATCCATTTGTTTGGGTTCCAACCGACGGCCACCCAGCACTTACATTTCTGGCCGGTTCTCGATCTCGTCCCCCGACCCCTTCGTCCATGACGCCATCGACGTCCCCGATGCACTCTTAAAGGCGGTCGATGGCCATCTCCCCTTCTCCGCGCTCTTTCTTCCTTTGTCCCACCATCTCTTCCTGACTTAGGCCCGCCCGCTCACTCTATAAGGCTCCAAGGTAGGTCATAGCATAAGGTCATATAAAGGTACGTGACAGACATTCCCCGTGAGTGCACATCGCATACGCATAGGTGAGTTGGGCCTTGGTTAGACTTGCGGGGTGTAGACATAGGTAACGACTCAGCGCAAGCACCAGGGGACCTCAACTCAGTAATGTTCATTGAAGCAGATTCAGAGCCGCACGAGACGCTATGCACTATGCGCGCAGTAGGTCAGGGCGTGAGGCGGGTAGCTCGACGGGGCAGTGGGCGGACGTGGGGAGAGGGCGGCCAATGTATGCGAGCACGCGTGTCGTACCATAGAGCAACTTGCATCCGAATATATACCTTTGCATTCCAAATTAGGACCGCATCGAGCATGTGAATCTGTATCAATCTTTTGTGAGCTTTATACGTCTTTTTCTGTCAGTCGAGACAGACCATAATAGACCGTTCTCGACCATAAAAGCTAGAAAAAGAGGGAAAAAGATGAGTGATGGCAATTGGCTTTTTGTGGCGATATCTGCCTATCACCTACTATATCTACCGATATCTACCGATATCTGGCTGTATGCCAGCTAGAAAAAGCCACAAAACGTGGGAAAAAGGGACGGTTCTCACTGGGCCGTACGGCTGTCTTGACTGCCCCGCGCAATCACCGCACCGTTGGAGCTGCCGCCACGGCCGTCATCGAGTTCGAGTGAGCAAGGACATGACCACTCCTAGTCTGCGTACGGCAGTACTAACCGCGCATTGTCAGCGATTCGCAGTGGTGACGACGCGTGAGCCGGACGCGCTTTCACTCGCGCCGTCTTCATCGCACCGGGCAGCTGGGATGTGCGACGAAGTCGCACAGGACGTCGATTTCGTCCTCTTACCGTTACCATGTGTCTCGTGCACCCTGCGCTAGCTAGTGCTATTGCATCCGCCTCGTCCCGACCCGTCCTCCATTTCCGGGGTATCCGTGCTTCGTGAGCATAGCTCCTGAAGGCTGAGTGGGACGAGCCATACGGTCGGCCATTCCTGATCTCGTTGTGTTGGCTAATGTTCCTGCGAATCGTCATCTACGCTACCTCTGAGTGTAGTAGTCAGCCATGGAACGGCGTCGATCAAGTAGTAGCGCGTCCCGCCAGCCACGGGCGGGGGCGGGGGCGGGGGCGGGGCGCCGGTGCTGGCCATGGCCGCGTCGCGATCGACTGCCCCGGCCCTATGTAGACGACGTTATGCCAACGCTAAATACAAGATTTGCCCTACAGGATTCAGGCTGAGCATCCGAAGCCATGATGGTTGAAGCGCATGCATGGTCACTCCCAGTGAGAACTTACATGGGCTCCCCTGTTTTAGACTGTTTTGTACCGTATGATATCGGGAAACCCGACCACACCCATAATCTGGCAGTGGAACCTACTTTGACTGTATGTTGTTGTATGCAGTCGGGGGGCCGCGCGATACCAACCAATCACCGTTGGGCTGGGTCGGGCTCGGGCGTTTTCCTTTGGTTAGGCGTGGTTGCTGTTGAGACCCTTTGTAGCAGAACATCGTCACATTACTGAATACTATTGTATGCTGTCGTATGGCTACACGGGGTAATACAGCTACGATCAGGTATCATCGAATACTCGCGGAGAATCCTGGACGCCATTGGATCACAATGGGATCAGCCCGAGACGGCACACGAGTCCGCTGGTCGGCGATACGACCCTGCCGCCAAGAGAGAAACAACCGCGTGCGATGCCTAGGCCTCCTGTTGACCACTTGAACGGGCGCGTCGTCGACATTGTCAGCATTCGAAGTGCAATCTTATCAGTAAGATTCGGCAATGGGACTCAATAGCGGTGCTAGAAACGTACTGTCTATGACGCAGGGACATGTCCGAGCCTGTATGTCGACCGCACGCCGGTAGCCCTGGTTGAGGGACGTGTCCTGGCCGACCATGTACAGCCTGGCATCGGCGTCGAGGGCGACGTACATGCATGCCCTGCTCCTTGGCGATGTTCAGTGTGAGCTTCGCAAAAGTCTGCATGTAGTCTTTGCGCCCGAGCCCAGGACCGATAATCAGAATAGCAGGCGCGAGAGGAGGCCTGAGAACGTTTCCTTGACAGAGTTGATAGGGCTGTGGCGTGACTCAACATCAGTGCGGAGAGGGAGGGTATGGCCTAGGGAAGAGGGCGGTCGAGATAATGGTGAGCAAAGGAAGGCGATACATGCGGCCAAACGCACCTGGCGCTCGGCACAAGTCAGAGCCTTGTAGTGAGCCTCGAAGGTCCTGCGTTCACCCGGTCTCCATGTACCATGGCCGCACATGTATCCACCTGGAACAGACATGTGACTCAGGCACTCAAGGAAGTCAGAGAGTGAGGGAGTGAGTAGTACGTACTTGGCACCTTGCAGATCAGCTGGGGAGGCCATGGCGAGGTCTTGCGAGGTGCACATGTTGTTATTCATCGCCGTTGTCTGCAAACACTTGCCGGGAGACTGTGTTGAGGGAACAGTACCTGGTAAAACGATATAGTGGGAGACAGCTTGCAAACGAGGGGATAGACATGGTAGACGTGGTGGATTAAGAGACAGAGGGTACATCGAGGGAATCCGAACATCGGCGCCTAAAGCGCATGACATCATATCCTCGCCGAGGAAGGAGAGATCGATGTCAAGAAAAGGGGGGCAAACGTTGAGAAAATGGAAATGTGCGAATGTTTGGTAAGCGTACCGAA